AACTAAACAGTAATATATCACTGATATTGATCAACTAACAGTATATAGCACGATATATTGATCAGCACTACAACCAGAGACAGGTCCCTATGACCCTGTCTGTTCCTGTCCTTTGGACCACTTTTGATAGGTACTGACCTCTGCAGACCGGGAACACCCCAAAAAAGAGATACAGGAGCCACCTGATACCCCCCCCCCCCCCCCCCCCCCAACAGACAGGATCCCCTGATAATCAGTGCTGATCGACATAGATAATGTATAAATATAATCATAATTAATCATTATCACTTCTATAGACTTGAGGATCATGTGGAACACAAACATTTACCGTTATAATACAAGATATATATACATATAACAACAAATAATAAAACACATCAACAGAACATTTACATTTCTGTCTCTTCTCCTGTGTCTCTCTGTCTCTCTCTCTCTCTCTCTCTCTCTCTCTCTCATCTCTCTCTTCTCTCTCTCTCTGTCTGTCTGTCTGCTGTCTGTCTGTCTGTCTGTCTCTCTGTCTGTCTGTCCTGTCTGTCTGTCTGTCTGTCCAGACTCCAGGTCATCATGCTCAGTCTAACGAGTCCAACCGTTTCTGTATTTTCAACAACGTGGCGATTGCAGCTCGATACGCCTCGGAGCAAACACTCAGTCAAAGCAGGGTAGGGAAAAATCTATATAATATAATATCAATCTCTATATCAATATAAATCAATTTTATATCAATCTCTATTATTTAGATGAAATAATCAATATCTATATCAATTAATATATTTAAATGTCTATATCAATCTCACTTTATCAATCTATAATATCAATATATATTATACATTATTTCCATTGATGTACATACAGTATGACGTTAGCTTACAACATTGCAAAAAGGGGCGGGATTAAGTAGGCACTGCTTAATTCTGAATCTGTGGTGTGGTCGTCTGTGTGTGTGTTGTGTGTGTGTGTGATCATGTGTGTGTGGTCTGTGTGTGTGTCTGTGTGTGTCTGTGTGTGTGTGTTCTGTGTGTGTGTCCTGTGTGTGTGTGTGTGTGTGTGTGTGTGTGTGTGTGTGTGTGTCTGTTGTGTGTCTGTGTGTGTCTGTGTGGTGTGTGTGTTGTGTGTGTGTCTGTGTTGTGTTGTGTGTTTGTGTCAGGAAATATATCAGTCTATATACTGTCAATGATCAATATATCAGTCTATATACTGTTAGTGATCAATATATCAGTCTATATACTGTCAGTGATCAATATATCAGTGTATATACTGTTAGTGATCAATATATCAGTGATCAATATATCAGTCTATATACTGTTAGTGATCAATATATCAGTGTATATACTGTTAGTGATCAATATATCAGTGTATATACTGTTAGTGATCAATATGCTGATCAGTGAACAGCCAGCTAACTAACACAATAAAAAGCCTCCATGTGGTTTACCTATTTAAGGCTTTTAATGTGGAATATCGAGCAGCAGGAAGTGATGTCTCCTGATCCAGCTGTGAGCTGGTTTGTACCGAAGCGGTGGTGCTGATCGAGAGACCTGAACGACAGCCACAGAAGTTTACCTGATGACAGCGACATCCGGGTTCTGGATTCAGAGTGCAGACCCGAGGTCGGCCCAGCTGCAGGAGCTGAGCCGACCCACCGCAGACACACACACCTGGAAGGACTCCCTGACACACTCACACACACACACAACACACACACACAGTAACACTACACACACAACACACAATCT